GCTGAGCGGGAGAACTTTTCACGCAGACTGCTGAGCATTGTAATTGTTGTAGACCGCCACTTGAGAAATGACGATAGCGATTGGCCACACAACCAGGAAGAGGCACTTTGCCTTGACGAGCGTGCGTAACATCTTCTTGCAGCCACGGGGGCCCTCGGCGAGGGCGCCCTCAGCGAGGACTCTTTTATTGTCATTTGTCGTCAGTTTTGTCGCGATGAACAGGACCACGATCCACGAGATAGCGACGAGGATCATGACGTAGCCAGCGATGACAACGCTTTCGATGTACGTGAGGTAGGGAACCACCGGCATCCCCGCCGTGACGTCCAGCGAAAAGAAGAGGAGGATTGTAAGGACCATCGCGGAAGTGCCAAGCATGTCTTTGATAGTCACCTCTGTCGTATTCCCCGCTTTCTGCAGATAGTCCAAGAGGAAGTATACGTACAGAAGGAGCATGCTGAGACCCAGCACAAGAAATGTCCGAAGGAGCACCTTGACTGGGTTTCGCTTGAGGCAGTACCGGGCGTTGAACATCGGGTGCCAGTAAGCACCATACGTGTTGGCTTGGTGGCGAGTGACGGCGTACGAGAGGCCACACGACTCGAACGCCGCTGGCATTGCTTGAGTTGGGAATCGAGACGTATCTATTTGAAGATAGTCGCGGAACCAAAAAGAGAGGCCGCTGAAGTCTAGCTGCAGAAACTGCCCGCCAAAGTAGGTATCCTCATCGGCGTAAGGCACCTCAACAGCGACCGACACGTTACGGCACGACGTCGAACAGCCCTTTGGATTCAGCGTGGAGCCACCTTGCATCACCAGCCCATCGGCAGCCTTGCCCCATCTGCCAGAGCTCCACTGGCTTGCTCCGAAATGGTAGTTGGTGATGACGAGGCTCACTTCGTGCACGTCCAGTGGGTAGCGAGCAAAGTCAAAATTGTGTTGGATGCATGTCTTTCGCAGGCGAAACTCTAGCGCCAGTACAAACGGGAAGTGGCGCTTCGTGGCAGTGCACCATGTCTTCTCTGCAGGGTCGCATGCAGCGGAAGGGTCGTCCGCCAAGTAAACCTTCTTCCAGCCATCAGAGATGTGATGGAACCACTCAGGCTTATCGCCCTTGCAGTAGGTGGAAAAAAAGTATTTGTTGTTCATCCATGTGTTCACATTTGCCATGGTTTCCGCATCCCTGGAAATGTCGTACTGGGTGTACCCTTTGTACGAACCGCCATCCGTGACGCCAGGTGGGTTAACCTTCATACTTGTGAGGTAATCGAGCGTCGATCCGCTTGAATCTTCTTCCGACCCATAGTAGGTAGCCATGTCGAGGTCAGGACCAAGGAACATGAAGTTGATGTCAAACGTCCCTGAGACATCCACTTGCGAGTCGGCAACTGAGATGCGGTCGACTTGCAACGGCCAAAATCCGCGAACCAGTACGCTGGCCGGTCCGGCAAGCTCCGGGTCAAATGCTGACTGAGCCAGAGGTGCCATCAGCATGAGCAGCAGCCGCGACATGGCACCTCCACAGGGGTTGTGCATTCTGGCGGCGCGACAACACGGCGCTCGCTCGACGTAACGAACTCCGTTGAAAAAACAGGGAAAAACGCGGCAACGATTCTTCACAGGCCTTGTTATGAGAAGAAAATCCCAACGCCCAAGGCATGCACAGCTCCGTTTTTACGACGACCGCGCCTCGCGCTTCCGATCAGGCATCATCTCGAGATGCACGACGAGAGATCGTGAGGCGGTCGTGCACAGCTTCTCGGAGTACATCAAGAACGGGGATTCATACCAGCGGCTGTCTGGTTGCGATACGTCCGCCGCCGACACCGAGCATGGCCTCTCGATCGAGGTGTGGGACGAGGTCTCCGCCCCGCGGGGAGGCTGGCGGCTGGCGCTCAGGCTAGTGCCATTTCACTCTGACACGCTAATCTTGAAAACGTCTCCAACGGAGCTCCGTGTTGCTTCCAGCGCCCTCCCCCGCGCTTCCTGCGGCCATGGCCGATGATCCTAGGAAGAGAGGTCATCTGGCTACCGCGAGAGCGACCCAACTCGTCGACATCGTCCGATGATGGTGCCTCAAAGTCAGCCTTCGGAGGCTATCGTGGGGTGGAGCCGGCAGTAGCCGTGACATGTGGTTCCACCACCCCTCGTAGGCTTTGCCTCTGACCGCCACCGTTCCCAGGCTGCCTACTGGGATGGAAAGGAAGGCTCGGCGAGCGTATAGAAGCGTGCTCGACCTCGTCGTGGCAACCTGTACGGCAGCGCTGGTAGGCGCGATGAGCGTCGTGCCACCTGACCCGAGACAGGTCGCAGGCGTCGTACCGAGCGCGTCGAGACCGTGTCCTGATGTGGTCTGCACGGGTGAGTCACGTCGGCGTCAAAGGAGCGACGTGTGACCTGTCAGAGCTTGATCTCCGATCTCAGCGGCGTCGAGTCGCCTTCGGCGCGCGACAAATGTACCTCCCCAGGACGCGCAGAGGCAGCTGCGACCCCGCCGAGTAGACGGCGGCACACCGCGCCACCTGCTGTGTGCCGCCGTCTACTCGGCGAGGTCGCAGCTTCCACTGGAAGGCACCGAGAGGTACATTTTTCGCGCAATGGTCAAAATCAAGGTTTTGTAACGCGGGCTGTGCCACAGTGAAATGGCACTAGCCTCAATCTGTTCGGATGAGACTCAAGAGCGCGCGCGTGTTTGCGGCGCTCGAAACAAGAGAGTTCAACCCAGCGAAACACAATGTGGCACCGCCCCGGGGGCAGTCAGCGCGCATGCAACCAGTAGATAGAGTACCCCGCGTCCCTCAGTGCCACTCGAGGCGTGCGAGGGCCTTAGCCACCCGCTCGGGCGTCGCGTTGGCGTAGCCGTCCTCCCGAAAGAACTGCTCTTCCTCCGCCAGATCCTCCTCGTCCTCTGTGAGGAAGTACTTCCACGAGAGCGACAGCTCCGTGAGGATGCCGGACGATTCGTAGCCACCGGACTCGAGGAAAGTGTCGAATGCGTCGTCGGGCGCACCGTTCGCCTTGGGGACCAGCGCCTGAAAGCCGCCGTACTGGGCGTTGGGTCCGAAGTAGACGAAGGCGTCGAGCGTGTCCTCGACGACGGCAACGTCCACTCCTGCAGTGCACGTGTCTCCACCGAGCTCCTTGAAGCCGTGGCGGAACCCGTAGCGCGCCCGGTTCCCATCGCCATCGACGCTTTTGTAGCCGCGCACATCGACGATCTGGCACATCTTTTGGTCTGTGTCGCGCGTGACCGTCACGACGAGGCGATATGGGCTCGTCCACATCGACTGGTAGTCGTCCATCCCCGAGTCAATCGGCACGGTCTGATCCCGGGGCACCTTCAGACGCTCATCACGCGTCGGGCCGGTGGCCACCTTCAGCCGCGGCGATGGTGGCGATGGCCGCACGCTCGACGCCCAGATCAGGTTCTCTGTCTCCTGCTCCACATCGAACCGCACCGCAAAGTGCGGCGGCCCCGCGAACGCCTCGCGAACGCTGCTGGTAAGGTAGTCGGTCCTCTTGGGAAAGTCGTCGTCCTTCTCGCAGTCCTCATCGTAGTCCTCGTAGTCGTCGAGCCAGCCCTGGCGGCATTGGCGGCTGCAGTCAAGCTCGAACAGCTCGAAGGTGAAGGTGAGCTGGTCGTAGGTGAACTCGGGCAGCGCAATGGTCGTTGGGGCGAGCGTCGTGCAGATGAACTTGGGCTGGTGAGAAGACATGAACACCCCATGCTCGAACCAGGTCACGCCGTGCTCGCGGAAGGAGTCATTGCCGTGCAGCCCGACAGTCGCGCGCTGACGGAAGAGCCGCCGGTAGTCCAGCTCCTGCTCGAGCAGGGGAGTGTTCTCGGACGGGTCGTTGAAAGGAGTGACGATGTACTTGGCGTCGTCGGGGCCCTGGCCGTCGTCGAGGCCCTGGCCGTCGTCGGGGCCCTGGCCGCCGCCGCCGACGATGTGCGCAACGGGCGAAGTGCGAAGGTAGATGCTCTTCCAAAGTGCGCGGTCCGAGGCCGCGGCATTCCAGATGCTGCACACGCGGCTCGCATTTGCCAGATCGCGTGCGAGAGCCTGGGCGTCGTCGTGAGGCGTGGATCCGAGAGCAAAGAGGATTTTGAGGACGAGCTCCTCGGCGAGTTCCATCGGCACAGCGGCTGCGGCAGCAGCCGCGCGGCGGGTGAGGACCATCGTCGAGAAGCCGGAAGAGGGGCTTCCCCGCGGGCTTTCCCCGAGCAACACTGGGCGGCAGCTGGGCGGCGAAAGCCGGCTGCTTTATGCGCGCGCGGTTTCTTTTTCCTGAGACGAAAACAGGGTGTTTTTCTTTTTTTACCTTTTTCTTATCGCGTGTTTCCCCTTTGCAGGCCCGATGCGGCGCCGTCGTTTCTTGCAAGAGGCTCTCGATGGCGGCAGACGACACGCCCCGCATGCCGCTCTCTGAATTGAAACGGGCCCTCAAAGAGCTCAACGTGCCGGCGGAGCGTCTCGCGACGTGCATTGAGAGGCCTGACTATGAGGCTCTCCTGGCGGAAATGCGCGCAAACAAGAGCAGCGAGCCGGCAACAGGCAGCGCTAAGACAGCGGCCGGCGACAGTGGAGCCCGTGGCGGCGGCGGCGGCGGCGGCGGCGGCGGCGGCGGCGGCGGCGGCGGCGGCGGCGGCAGTCCCTTCAGCCTGCAGAACATCCTTCTCGTGGGTGTGCTCGCGTACTACGGCAGCAGCCTCTTCGGCGGCTTCGGAGGGCTGGATGATGACGAGGGAGGCCTCGCCTCGAGCGATGGCGCGCACTGCTCGGCGGAGCCGGTCCAGCCTTCTCTCTGTGATCATTCTCGGAGCCTTCCCTGCAGGCGCGCACCTGCTCGGCCGTGTGGCGGAGCTGCGCACGCTGGAGGCGTTCAAGGGCCTGCTTGCGCAGCACCGCGACGGGACTGGCCTCCCGGTCGTGGTCGACTTTTACTCCCCCTCGTGCGGCCCCTGCCGCATGGTCGCGCCGGCGTACAAGGCGCTCGCAATGGAGCTCAAGGGGCGCGCCGCCTTTGCCAAGGCGAGACGACTCACCCCATCACCCCTCCACCTCACCCACCCTCTCCCACCCACCGCTCGCCCGCACTCCCACCGCCCGCCCGCACTCCCACCGCCGCGCCCCTCCCCTCGACCGTCCAACCCGCTCATCCCCCATCTCGCCCCTCCCGCCCACACGAGGCAGGTCGATGTCAACCGCAACCACGCCACCTCCTCCGCCTGCGGCGTCCGCTCGATGCCAACCTTCCACTTCTACCTCGACGGCAAGCTGCGCGACTCCTTTGCAGGAGAGAAAATATATCTTACTCGAAGTGTCTGCGAGAGCGCGCGCACACACACACACACACACACACACACACACACACACACAGCCACACAGCCACACAGTCACTCACACACTCGCGCGCCTGCTGGTTCGCCGCCCCTTCCCGGAAGCGGCTCGGAGCCTTCTCCTGGTAGGCGCCGACTCGCGAGATACAATCTCCGAGATACAATCTCCGAGATGACAATCTCCCCTGGTAGGCGCCGACTCGCGCCGGCTGCAGCGAGCGGCGAGAGACCTAGCGCAGCGAGCGGAGGAGGGAGGGACGCACGTCGGGCGCGAGGTGACCGCCGCGTCGCTCGCTGCTTTCTACGCCACGCACGACGCATCCAAGGCCGCTGAGCCGCCCACGCCCGCGCCCGCCACGCCCGCCGCCCGCCGCTTCGCGCCGCGCTCGCTTTTAGCGGCCGAGGGCGTGTCCAGGACGCGTCCAAAGGACATGTCCGACCCGTCCCCGACGCGTCCCTCTCCCGCAGGTGCCCGAGGCAGCAGAGATCGCGTCGCAGTACTCGAGCTCGACCGCGAAGCTGGCGCGAGATACAATCTCCGAGATTACAGTCTCCGAGATTGCAATCTCCAAGAGCTCGACCGCGGAGCTGCGCGAGAGTAGTCGAGGTCGCAGTCGGGAGGCTGGCCGAGGCTGGCCGAGGCTGGCCGAGGCTGGCCGAGATTTCCTTGGAGCGCGCAGCGCACCCCCCCCCCCCACGCTAGCAGCCCGCCCCAACGCTAGCGTCCCACGCAGTCTGTGCAGCCTCACTTCTTCATCAGCAGCTCTTCGTCGCTCTCGCAGGTGCGCGCGCTCAAGAAGAAATACGGGCAGGGGCCAGCGACGAGCCCGCGCCCGGAGCCTCCGGCCGCCGGCTCTGCCGACGCCGCCGCCGCGGCGGCCGGCGGTAGGACGGCCGCCGCCGCGGCGGCCGGCGGCAAGGCGGCCGGAGGCGCAGGTGGACGCGCCCAGGACGCGTCCACGTCCAAGCCGGCCGGAGGCGCACGCGGCGCGCTTGCGGGCGCCAGCGCGGCGGAGCTGGAGGCGGAGCTGCTGAGTCGGAGGCGCGCGGGCGAGGGCGCGGGCGCGGCGGAGGGCGGGGCGGAGGAGGGCGAGGAGGGCGAGGAGGGCGGGGAGGACGGGGCGCTGTTCAGCCCGCCGCCAGTGAGCAGCGCTGCTGCGCCTCTCAGGCTCTTCCGTGGGGGAAGAGGCGGACGTGTCCATGGCACGTCCATGACGTACCCGCGACACGCCCCGCAGGATCGTCATCCTTGGAGGCGGCCCTGCCGGGCTCTCCGCCGCCATCTACGCCGCCCGCGCCGGGCTGTCTCCGGTGGTGGTTGCGCCTGCCTTCGGAGGGCAGCTGCAGGGCAAGGGAGTGGACGTTGAGAACTTCCCGGGCGTGCTGGAGGCGTCTGGCCCCTCCGACACGCCGAGGGCCTTGTCGACCCTCCTCGCAACCCTGTCGGAAGCTTCCTGCAGGCGACGGGCCCGGGCCTCGTCGCTCGGATGCGGCGGCAGGCGGCGGCCTTCAATGCGACGATGGTCTCCGACGCGGCGGTGCGGGTCGACGTCTCTCGCTCGCCCTTTACAATCACGCTCGACGAGGCGGAGGCGCAAACCACGGCAGACGGGGTGGACTCCCCGAACGACAGTCCAACGGGCCGAGCGCCAAACTCGACTCTGGGGTAGGCGCCGCTGTACGCGCGCGCGCTCGTCGTTGCCACGGGCGCAGACAGCCGCTGGCTCGGCGTGCCAGGCGAGCACGAGTAGCGACCGCGGGAGGAGCGTCTGACGGAGCCTTGCCCGAGCCGTCTCGGAGCCTTTGCTTGCAGGCGAGCATGAGTACCGCGGGAGGGGCGTCTCGAGCTGCGCGACGTGCGACGGGTACCTCTACCGAGGCAAGGACGTGGTCGTCGTGGGCGGTGGTGACTCCGCCGCTGAGGAGGCGCGTCGCAAGCTCTGCGCTAGGCGGCACCACTCGTGATTCTCGTCCGCCCGTCCCATCCCCGCCAGTGTGCATCAGGCGCTGCTCCTCGCGCGCACCTCCCGCTCCGTGACGATGATCGTCCGGCGCGGTGCGCTGCGCGCAAGCCGCGCCCTCGCCACGCGTGTGCTCGAGCACCCAAACATCGCCGTCGAGTGGAACGTCACGGTGGACCGCTTCGAGGGCAACGCCGACGGCCTCCGCCGCGCGATCTGCCGCCGCGCGACCAAGGACGGCGGCAGCGGCCAAGGCGCGGCGGCCGACGCCGAGCTGTCGGTGCGCGCGAGCGCCGCCTTCGTCTCGATCGGCCACGAGCCGAACACGGGCCTGCTCCGCGGCCAGCTAGGAACCTTCTAGGAACCTTCTAGGAACCTACTAGGACTCTTCCCATAGGACTCTTCCGCGGCCAGCTCGCCCTCGCGGCGGGAGGCTACCTCGACATGAGCGAGGCCTAGGAACCTTCTAGGAACCTTCTAGGAACCTACTAGGAACCTTCTAGGCTACCTCGACATGAGCGAGGCCGGCCGCTCTACGCGCACGAGCGTGGCCGGAGTCTTTGCCGCGGGCGACTTGGCTGACCGCCAGTACCGCCAGGCCATCACGAGCGCGGGCTAGCCTTCTAGGAACCTTCTAGGAACCTTCCAGGAACCTTCTAGGACTCTTCCCCTAGGCCATCACGAGCGCGGGCTCCGGCGCGCAAGCGGCGCTCGACGCCGAGCGGTACCTGAGCGAGCAAGGCTGGACCGACTGAAGCGTGCCGTCGTCATACAGACCCGGCGCTGGGAGGACGGCCGAGCTTAGGCCATGTACGGCTCGAGATGAGGCGATGGCGGAGGCAGCAAAGAGGGAGGCGGAGGAAGAGGCTCGCTCCCGACTGGCGGAGCAGGCGGCCCGCGGTAGCGGCGGATGCCAAGGCGCTCGAGGAGGCGAAGAGGCGATCGCTACAGGCCCAGGGGAGCCGAACCGACCGACTCGAGGCGGCGGCGGGAGGCGGCGGCGGGGGGCGGTGGCGGGAGGCTGCCGTCGCTGAGTTAGCCGAGGCCGAGGCGCAAGCGGCGGCTGGGCAGGCCGCTGGCGCGGGTCGGCCGCGCGCGAGCGTGCTTGGCCAGCTGGCCGAGCTGGAGTCGCGGCTTTGCCTGTGGAGGGGGACGGCTCCGCTGCGGCGCCTCGGTGCGCTAAACTTTCCCATCTCAAGATATTCACGCATGGTCCACAGGCTTGTCAGGTCCGCGGGCTGTAATGTTGGGCGCCCGAGATGCGAGGCGGGAACTCTATTTGGCTCCCGTGGTGTACCTGTGTTAGTGCCAGTGCGCGCCAGTCCCGTGCCTAGTGTCGTGTGAGATTTCGGCATCTTGGAGCACTTGGAGCACTTGGAGTGCAATCAGTAACCTCACATCCAGGGCCGAGGAGCTCAGAAGCGCACCCAGCGGGCCGGATGATCGGTATCGGGTTGCGGGCAAGAGAGCCCTAGCCCCGGGGGTGCGCGTTCGCAGGGCAAGGGCTGTAAAGTAAACACGGGTCTCCGAGGGTTGGCTCCGCGCTCCGGGTTTCCCCTAGCAGCAGACCGCCCCCTCTACTCGGAGCTATAATGAACACGACACGCACTCTCACACGACGTCACCGCTCAGGACCCCTTCGCACGAGGTCCTCATCCTCACTCCGGAGGAGGCTCCCCTCTCCTCTGAGTTCTTCCTCTTGTTCGCTTTCCGATGATCATCCGACGGGCGCGGGGCCCGACCTCCCCTCCTAGCCTTTTTCAGCCGCGGCCCCGCCACCGTCTCGTCTTCTCTGTCCGATTCTGTCGCCATCACCGACGGTGATTCCATGCCCGACTCCTCGGGCGAGGGCAGCGGCATTGGATCGCCACGCCGCCCCTCCCCGGGAAGTGGGGCCAGCTCTCTTCGGTCGAGGACTCGCGCCCGCCCCTGCGGTCTCTCTATCGTCCTCGGCTCGTCCGTACGTCCCGACTCTACTCGCAGAGGCCGCGTCAGCTCATCTCTCGCCTCCTGCTCCGACAGTTGACCCCAAGCCCCCCCCGGGGCCCTCCGGCCTCGGCTTTCCAGTTCGCCGGCGGGTCCGCTCTCGTACCGCGGTAATTCCCTTCCCCCATCTCCTCCTCCCGGGTACACCAGCCTCCGGCGGGGCGGTCCCGGGTCCCCCAGGTTATTCCGAGCGGGTCCATACGGTGGCGGCCCCGTCGGCGGCGGGGGTGGAGGCGGTGGCAGGGGCGGCGGGTGCGGTGGCGGCCCTCGCGGCCCAAAGGCCTGGTGCGGAGCCGCTGGGGCGGCCCCACGACCCTGCAACCGTTCCAGTGGCGGGGGCGGAAGTGGCAGTGCGAGTGGCGGGAACGATGGCGGCACTGGCGGCCGCACCGCCTGGTGTGGACCCTCAGGGGCGGCTCCTCGACCCAGCAGTCGCTCCAGCGGCGGGGGCGGAGGTGGTGGTGGCGGGGGCGGGCCCGGTGGCGGTGCCGGCCGCCGCACCTCCCGGGGCGGGGCCTCGGGGGATGCCCCCTGCCTCTGCGGCCGTTCCAGCCGTGGTTCTACGCGTCGGCCGTCCATGCGCCGCCGCGAGCACCGCGTAGTGGTCTCGCCCTCTGGAGAGCCCCAGCCCGACCCCTCGCGGCCACTCGCGCCGTTGCAGGAGCTCCGACCCCGCCACTCCGGCTCCCGAGCGCGCGGCGAGCACGAGGAAGAGCACGCGCATGGGCCAAAAACCCGTTACTCACAGCGATCTGTTTTTCTTTTCCTCGCGATGTCCACCTCGCCGCGCCGCTCGCGCCGCTCGCGATGCCTCGCCTCGTCCTCCGCTGCGCCCTCGCCAAGCACGCCGCAGCCCATCCGCCTCCTCGACCTCCCCACGGAGCTCCTCCTGCGCGCCCTCTCTCGCTGCGACCCCGTCGACATCGCTCGCGTCGCGGCCGTCTCGTTGCTCTTCCGCGCCTCGCTTGCGCTGGAGGGCATCCGCTTGTGGGCGCAAGAGCGCGGCTTCGAGCTGCCGGCGCAGCCAGAGGGCGAGAGCTGCGCCGTGCGGTGGCTGTGCCTCGCCGCATTGCTGCGCGAGTCCAACCCGCCGGCGAGGGCTGCGGCAGGCGAGTCTCACAGCCTCTTCATCGACGGCGAGGGGCGGCTCTCGTCGTGCGGCTCGGCTCCGTCCTACTTCCCAGGGCTGCTCGGCCACGGCGAGGGCGTGACGCAGCTCAACACGCCGACCCGCCTCCCTTCCCCGCTGGGCGGCGAGCGCGCCGTGAGCGTGTCGGCGGGAGCCGGGCACAGCCTCGCCCTCGCCGCCGGCGGCAGTGTCTGGAGCTGGGGCTATGGAGGCTGGGGCCGGGGAGGCGCCGGCCGGTTGGGCCACGGCGACGAGCAGGACCAGCTGCTGCCCAAGAAGGTCGAAGCCTTTGCTGGGCGGCGCGTCGTCGCTCTGTCGGCTGGGCCTACCTACAGCCTCGCCATCACCGCCGATGGCGCTGTCTGGAGCTGGGGCAGTGGAAGCTGCGGCAAGCTGGGCCACGGCGACGAGCAGGCCCAGCTGCTGCCCAAGAAGGTCGAGGCCTTTGCTGGGCGGTGCGTCGTCGCTGTGTCGGCGGGAGGCGGGCACAACCTCGCCCTCGCCGCCGACGGCGCCGTCTGGAGCTGGGGCTTGGGCTACGCAGGCCGTTTGGGCCACGGCGACCAGCAGAACCAGCTGCTGCCCAAGAAAATCGAGGCGTTGGCGGGGCAGCGGGCCATCGCTGTGTCGGCTGGAATTGCTCACAGCCTCGCCATCACCGCCGACGGCAGCGTCTGGAGCTGGGGCGGTGGAAACTCAGGCAAGCTGGGCCACGGCGACCAGCAGAACCAGCTGCTGCCCAAGAAGGTCGAAGCTTTAGCTGACCAGCGCACCGTCGCTGTTGCGCCTGGATACTTCCACAGCCTCGCCCTCACCGCCGACGGAGCCGTCTGGAGCTGGGGCGATGGAGGCCGAGGCAAGCTGGGCCACGGCGACGTGCAGAACCAGCTGCTGCCCAAGAAGGTCGAGGCCTTGGCTGACCAGCGCGTCGTCGCTGTGTCGGCTGGAGGCCACCACGGCATCGCCACCACCGTCGACGGCGCCGTCTTTACCTGGGGCAAGGGCGAAGGTGGCTTCCTAGGCCACGGAGAGGACCTGTCGAACCAGCTGCTGCCCAAGAAGGTCGAGACGTGGGCGCCGGGGCAGTGAGCGCAGTTGGACAAGGAGGGGATGCTCAGGCTTCTCGCGGCGCTCTCAACGAGGAGAGGATTCGGTTCGGTGTCACGGCGGGGCTGAGCCCGAGGGTGGGCGCGGCGGCGGTGTGGCGGCGGAGGCGGCGGGGGACGAGGCTGGTGTTGGCTGAGGCCGTCGCCGAGGCGGCGACCGCCGAGGCTGCGGCGGAGGCTGCTAGGGCGGCGGTGGAGGCGGCGACCGCCAAGGCCAATCGGTCGGCCGTGGCAGCTCGCTCTGATGCGGCGGCCCGGCTCGGCGTTCGCCCATACTACTCGTTTTTCGTGCTGAGCGGCCGGCAAGCAGGGTGGCACGTTTCACCTAGAGCAAGCAGGGTGGCACGCCCCTAGATCCACCCGCCAGCCGGGTGGGGCTTGCACGCAGCGATATCTTTCGCGTAAAATTCTGTCCGGCGGGAAAATTCTTTTGTTCGCGATGTCCACCCCACCGCGCCGCCGCTCGCGCCGCCTCGCCTCCGCCACGACCGCCGCTCCCTCTCCAAGCACACCGCCGCCCATCCGCCTCCTCGACCTCCCCACGGAGCTCCTCGCGCGCGCCCTCTCTCGCTGCGACCCCGCCGACATCGCTCGCGTCGCGGCCGTCTCGCTGCTCTTCCACGCCTCGCTTGCGCTGGAGGGCATCCGCTTGTGGGCGCGAGAGCGCGGCTTCGAGCTGCCGGCGCAGCCGGAGGGCGAGAGCTGCGCCGTGCGGTGGCTGTGCTATTCGGCGCTGCTGCGCGAGTCCAACCCGCCGGCGAGGGCGGCGGCAGGGCAGTGGCACAGCCTCTTCATCGACGGCGAGGGGCGGCTCTCGTCGTGCGGAACGGCTGAGGGCTGGACGCCGGGACTGCTCGGCCACGGCGAGGGCGTGACGCAGCTCAACACGCCGACCCGCCTCCCTTCCCCGCTGGGCGGCGAGCGCGCCATGAGTGTGACGGCTGGTTTCATGCACAGCCTCGCCCTCGCCGCCGACGGAGCCGTCTGGAGCTGGGGCCAGGGAGGCGGCGGCCGGTTGGGCCACGGCGACCAGCAGGCCCAGTGGCAGCCCAAGAAGATCGAGGCCTTTGCTGACCAGCGCGTCGTCGCTGTGTCAGCGGGATACGACCACAGCCTCGCCCTCACCGCCATCGGCGGTGTCTGGAGCTGGGGCCGTGGAGACGCGGGCAAGCTGGGCCACGGCGATGAGCAGAACCAGCTGCTGCCCAAGAAGGTCGAGGCCTTGGCTGGCCAGCGCGTCCTCGCCGTGTCAGCTGCACTCATGCACACCCTCGCCCTCACCGCCGACGGCGCTGTCTGGAGCTGGGGCAATGGAAGCTGTGCCATGCTGGGCCACGGCGACGCGCAGACCCAGCTGCTGCCGAAGCAGATCGAGGCGTTGGCGGGGCAGCGCGTCGTCGCTGTGTCGGCTGGAGACGTGCACAGCCTCGCCCTCACCGCCGACGGCACCGTCTGGAGCTGGGGCTTGGGACGCGACGGCCAGCTGGGCCACGGTGACGAGCAGGACCAGCTGCTGCCCAAGAAGATCGAGGCCTTGACGGGCCAGCGCGTCATCGCCGTGTCGGCTGGATGCCTCCACAGCCTCACCCTCACCGCCGACGGCGCCGTCTGGAGCTGGGGCTATGGAGGCGAAGGCCAGCTGGGCCACGGCGACGAGCAGAGGCAGCAGCTGCCCAAGAAGGTCGAGGCCTTTGCTGGCCAGCGCGTCGTCGCTGTGTCGGCAGGAGACAGGCACAACCTCGCCATCACCGCCGACGGCGCCCTCTGGAGCTGGGGCGCAGGCTCCTCGGGCAAGCTGGGCCACGGCGACACGCAGGACCAGCTGCTGCCCAAGAAGATCGAATCGTCTGTGCAGCATGAGGATTAGTAACAGGATATCTTCTGGTTTACGTAAGAAGAAATAAGTGTTAGAGCGGGGTCTGCGCGTGCGGCCTGCGGGCGCGAACAGAATGTGAGCCAAACTTATTGAGTGCGCGTGAACGGTATTGTTTCCTTTTTCGAACGAGCCGTAGAGCGTACACAGACGAATCGACCACACTCACAACACCGCTCTCGTCTCTGGCTCTGGGGACTCACAGACTGCTCACAGGACAGGTACGGCTCTAGGAAGAAGGAACAGGAGCCCGCGGCACACAGTCAGTACACCAGCGCCCCGTGCGCCGTCAGCCCCTGCATGAGCGCCGCCTCGATCGAGTTGGCGCAGAGTGGCTGCGCCGCCTCGCCCGTCAGCGCCTCGCGCACCACCTGCCAGCGCTGCGCGATCGCCTCCGAGAGGGTGGAGCGGCGGTAGCCTGCCGGGCCGCAAAACTTGGAGGTTGCGAAGAAGCCTCTCGGCGCCGCAGCGGCGATGGCCACCTCGAGGGCGAGCGTCGCCGTCTCGGCCGAGAGGCGAGTTCGGTTGAGGAGGGAGCGCCACGCGCCGCTAACCCGCGCCCCCAGCGTCTCTAGGTCGTGACACGAGTACACGCCGCCCTCGCCGCCCTCGCCGCCCTCGCCGCCCTTCTCGCCGCCCTTCTCGCCGCCCTTCTCGCCGCCCTCGCCGCCGCAGAGGGTGGCGAGGTCCGCCGCTCGCGCTCCGCCCCGCAAGTTGGACGCGACGAAGAGGGAGCAGTTCCTCGGCACGCGCTGCCGCAGCCGCCGCCGCAGCCAAGAGACGGACTCCGGCACACCGTCAATCAGAATCGGAGGCGCAACCTCGCTGCTGCCACCGCCGCCGCCGCCGCCGCCGCCGCCGTTCGCACTTTTGCCGCCGCCGCCTCTGCCGCCTCCTCCCGTGCCACCGCCTCCTCCTCCGCCTCCCCCGCCGCCACCTCTCCCGCCTCTGCCGTCGCCGCCCTTGCCTGAGCGCCCCGCACCCAGCAGCCGGCGGCCGGCGACGTCCCCAGGCGCCACCCGCTCGGCCCCTCCTGCGCTCTCGGGCGATGTCCCGCCGCCGTGCTGCGGCGGCGGTGGCGGCGGCGGCGGCGGGGCGGCGGCGGCGTCAGGCTGGCGCAAGTGGAGGGACGCGAAGCACTTTGGCAGCCTCCGCCGCAAAGCGCCGCCTACGGACGCCCCTCCTCCTCCTCGTGAGAGAGAGAGGGGGACAGAGGCGTTGGGGGGCGCCTCTGCCCCTTGGCGCGGCGGCCTGCGGCTTGGACGGCGGCGTGGAAGGGCAAGCGCAGCGCCGCGCGCGCGACGGCGCCGAAGCAGGGGTCTGTCTTGCGGAGGCCGACGAGCGACAGCTTCGCAAAGTAGAGGGACGAGACGCGGAGCAGGGCCGCCTGAGGCGGGGGGAGGTGTGGGGAGGTGTGGGGAGGTGTGGGGAGGTGCGGGGAGGTGTGGGGAGGTGTGGGGAGAAAGAGGGAGACGCGGAGCAGCGCCACTAAAGCCCTCCGGCAGTATGCACCGGTGACTGGCTCACTGGGAGGCCTCGCCCGGCCGGCCATACCTCGGCTACATCTCGGCCGCATCTCGGCCGCATCTCGCCTCGCCCAGCCGACTCCGGCGGTGCGCCTCGCGCAGCTCTGCCGCAGAGACGCCGCCGGCGCGGCCGCACGGCAGCGGCGCGACGGGCGCAGAGTCGAGCCAGGCGGCGGCGGCTGTCACGTCCACCGGCACGCCCACCCCCGCCTCCTCAGGCTCTCGCACTGCGGGCCGGCGCACGGGGCCGTCGCGGCTCTGTGCGGCGGAGAGGGCGGCGCGGCGGCCGAGCAGCCCGCGAAGGTCGACGAGGCGGAGGCCTGCAGGAAGGCTCCGAGAAGGTTCGCGGAAGGGGCCTGCCACGCGCGAAGGGTCGACGGGGGCGGAGGCCGAGGGATCGGAGGGCAGAGAAGCTGTAGATCTGGTCGAGGGCCTCGTAGGAGGGAGGCGAGGCGGAGGCGGAGGCGGAGGAGGAGGCGGAGGCGGAGGAGCCCGCAGGGGCGGGAGGCGAGGCGGCTGCGCCCGAGAGGCGGCGGAGGTAGACGCGCTCCGCGCTGCGCTGCAGCTGCGCCATGCGGGACGCGTTGGCGCAGCGCCGCTCGGGAGGGCCAAAGGACAGGTCCGCCTAACCGCGGGTGCCACCTGGTGTGTCATCTCAAGGGCCCCGCCTCCGCCTCCGCCTCCGCCTCCGCCTCTTCCTCCGCCTCCGCCTCCGCCTCTTCCTCCGCCTCCGCCTCCGCCTCTTCCTCCGCCTCCGCCTCCAGAGCCAGGCCGCTACAGCCAGGCCGCCACTCGCTTGTGCGCCGCTAGCGCCATTCCCCTACTCGCCGCTACTCGCCGCTACTCGCCGCTACTCGCCGCTAGCGCCGCTCCTGCCGCAGCAGCGGAGGCAGCACCAGAGTCCGGTTGAGCACGTACGCCAAGAGGAGCGCTCGGCGCAGGGAGAGCTCCTGGTTGCCGAAGCCCGAGTGGGCGGCGTAGACCAGCAGCCGGCCGGGCCTCACCCGCGCGCAGCCAGCCAGCCCTCCTCCCTCTGACCCGCCGGCAGACTCACTCGGCTCGACTCGGCCGACGGACGACGGGCGGCCTGTCTTGCCGCCGACGGTCCTGTCGCCGCTCTTGCGGCCGCCGCCCCTGCGACCGCCGCCGCCGCCGCCGCCGCCGCCGCGCGACCGAGCCTTGCCGCCGCCGCCGCCGCCACTGCGCGACGTCGCGGCCTGCTGCTGCCGCTCGGCTGCGAGCTGCTCCAGCGCGATCGCGACTGGGTCAAACGGCTCTGCCGCCGGACCTCCTCGCCCGCCGTGAGGGTCTCCGCCGGCCCATTCGTCGGGAGGGTCCGGCTCGAGCGTCAGGTCCCACCCTTCCAGGCCGTGGGACCAAGACCGTTCGGCGCGGGCCTTGGCCGGCTTTTGCTCCTCCCTCGCCCGGAGCGCAGCAAAGGAGCCCGTGAGGTGCAGCAGCGCGCAGCCCAAGAGACCGGAGAAGGAGAGCACCAGGACAAGGCGAAGACGGCTGCCACCGGGGGCGGTGGAGCGTCTGCGAAGTGGGCGAAGGAGCGAGGAGCGGGGCGTCGTTCGAAAGCTTGCGCGCGCGAAGAACCGCCCGCCACCAAAAGAAAAAATTAAAAAAAGAAAAATAAAACGGAACCGCAACACATCACGCGCTTAGACCTTTTTATTGAGAAGAAATACGACCTATGGCGTTTTGCGCTTTTCTATGAGAGGTTGATTGAGGTTTTAGGTATGTTGTTGGCTGCTGCACTTGGGGTGGGACGACAGGGGTAGACCGTGCTGTTGCTGTGAACAGCTGGGGCACGCGCCTTATCTGGCCCGGCCCCTTGGGGACTTGCGGCTCGGGTGCGACCTCTGACCGCGGGTCGCAGACCGTGCTCTAGGATGCGGTGGCAGGAGGGGGCTCTGGGGCGGCGGAGGCGAGCGCGGCGGCCACGGCCGAGGAGGACAAGCGCGTCCGGGCGCTGAGGATTGCCCTGCAGCACAGGACGCAGATGCCCGTGACGGACGAGGAGGCCCGGGCTATCCTCCAGGCGCGAGGGGGTCGCGAGACGCCCGTGACGGAGGAGGAGGCGCGGGTCATCCTTCGGGCGCGGGGGGACGTCGGGCACGGCAGGGCTACCTTTCAGGCGCGGGCGCGCGGGCGCGGTGGGCGCGCCACGGCATCGCCGGCGCTGGCGAGCAAGGGCGGCGAGAAGCTATCGCGGCGTGGGAAGAAGGCGGTGGCGAAGGAGGCGGGCGAGGTGGTATCACGCGAGGAAGGCGAGGCGATTTATCGCGCGACGCTCGAGTCGCTGTTGGCGTCCACCGGGTGGACGCCGCGCGCCGCGGAGGAGAGGGCGCGCGAGGAGCAGCGTGCGCATGTTCGGCAGATGCGCTGGGCAAGGGAGCACGGCCGGGGGGAGCCGGTCCGGTGCTTTGACGCGGAGGAGTACGACGAAGGCGACGACGCTTTCGACGCGCTCTTCGACGGGGGCTCGGGGTACGGGTGGGATTCCCCCTCGGGGGGCGGCGCTTTCTTCTAGGCGCCCGCCTTGACCCAACATAGAGGGCGTTGTGCAGCCTAGCTTTTGGGTAATATAAATCTTGCACAAACACTCAGTGTGTGGGATGCCCGAAGCACCTCTCTCGGCAAGCCTCGCGGAGGCGAGGCCGGAGCAGCAAAAGCAACTCCTGGGCGAGCGCCTCGCGGAGGCGACGCCGGAGCAGCAAAAGCAACACCTGGGCGAGCGCCTCGCGGCGGCGACGCCGGAGCAGCAGACGCAATTCCTGGGCGAGCGGCTCTACCCCCTCATCCAAGCGCAGGCGCCCACCGTGGCCGGCAAGGTGACAATCACGCTTCTCAAGATGGACAATGGGGAGCTGCTCAACCTGCTCCACTCGCCCGACGCGCTCAACTCAAAGATCGTTGAGGCCGTCACCGTGCTTGAGGGCGATCCCGCTGCGAGGGCGGAGGCAGAGGCGGCGTGGCGGCTTGTCAGCGGCGGAGAGAGCGGTGGAGAGGGCGGCGGGGAGGTCGGCGGCGGCGGCGGCGGCGGCGAGGCCAATCCCGCGGGCGGCGGTGAGGCGCGTGGTGGGGGCAGAGGCGGCCCGGAGGGCGGCAGCGGCGTGGGCGACGGCAGCGTGGGCGGCGACAGCGGCGACAGCGGCGACAGCGGCGACAGCAGTGACGGCGATCTCCTTCCAGGCCACATTGCGTCGCCGCCGCCGCCGCCGCCGCCATCCGTCGAAGGGCTGCGCCGGCGGGTGGTCCAGCCGCCCGCGCCTGCGGCCGAGGAGCTGTGCTGCCGCATCTGCTTCGGCGAGGACAGCCGCGCCAACCTCGTCCGACCTTGCGCCTGCTCCGGCTCGATAGCGTGCGCTCGATAGCCTAGCCTGACTGCCGGCCGCCCCGACTGCCCCCTGCGCGAAACGGCTCCTCTGACCGACTACCCAGGCCCGGGACCCCCAACCCCCCCCTGGCCGCCGTAGGTATGTCCACGACGGCATAGTGCTACAGATACACCCCGACTGCATCAGCACAGGAATGTTTCTCGCAGGTATGTCCACCCCGACTGCTTGCGCGAATGGGTCCTCCGCACGGAGTCAGTGTCGGCGAGAGTAGCTGAGATTAGCCGAGAGTAGACGAGATTCGCCGAGATTCGCCGAGATTAGCAGCGTGCTCCTCCGCACGGAGTCAGTGTCGGCCCGCAGCGCCGTGCCCGCGCCACTGCTGCTTCCGCCCGCTCGTGAGTGGCGCCCCCCCCCCCCCCCCCCCGACTCCTTCCTAGGCCCGCAGCGCGTGCCCGCAGTGCAAAGCACCGTACCGGATCACTCACGGCCCGCGCGCCCGACGCCAGCGCCAGCTCCGCCACTTCCTCACCGCCCTCGCTTTTGCCGCTTGCGCGCTGGGAGTGGCGACCGCGCTGCCATGGTGCCCCCCCGCCCCGCCCCGCCTCCCCTTCCTGGCCAAACCTCTCTCCGCGCTTCTCTCTCCGCGCTTCTCTCTCCACACGCCCCTCCCCTTCTCCCCTCTCGTCTCACCGAGGCCCGCCGTGCCATCTCCGTGACACTTCCGCGACATCTCCGTGACATCTCCGCGACATCTCCGCGACATCTCCGTGGCATCTCCGCGGCGCCTGCAGGTATGCGCGCTGCATGTGGGACCGGCCGTGGACGCTGTGGCGGCCCGACACGCTGACCGCCCTCTCGCCGGCCCTGCTCTCGCGCATCGGAGAGCAGTGCCCCAGAGAGCCGCGCCCCAGAGATGCACACCCGAGAGGTGCGACCCGAGGCCACATCTCCTCGCGACTGCGCGAGATACACCCGAGATACATCCGAGATACACCCGAGATACAGCCGAGATACACACCGAGATACAGCCGAGATACAGCCGAGATCTCTTCCTCTCGAGAGCTCGCCCCGAAGCGTCTCTCTGCGCCTGGCCCGTCAGGAGAGCTGAACTGGGAGGGCGGCGGAGGCGGCTGGGCGGCGGTGGCGGACTGGGCGCAGGGCGGGGACGGGCTCTCCTCCTGCCGGCTCAAGGGGAGGCGGACCGCCGCACACCGGAGGGGAGAGAGAGAGAGATCTTGGGCGCACTTTGGGGGAGAGAGAGAGAGAGATCTTGGGCGCACTTTGGGGGAGGGAGAGGGGGGAGGTCTTGGGGCGCAGACCGGGAGAGAGAGAGAGAGAGAGATCTCGCGTGCACCTCGCGTGCACCCTCGCGTGCAGGTGGCACCTCGACGCGGCACTCGTGTACGGGCAAGCTGCTCGCTGCGCAGCATCGCATCGCAGCGCCAAGGGCAGCGGCAGCAGCACTCCCCCCCCTTCTTGCGAGTAGGAGCGTCAAGCTCTGCGGCATCGCGTTCAACGCCCGCCTCTCTCCTTGCGGCAGAGACCTCGCCCACGCCAAACGGCGCGGTGAGCGGCGGAGGTGTTCGCCACAGGCGCTCTGCGTGCAGCGGATCCTGTCGGGCAATTTGTTTGCCGAGGCGGTGGGCGGGGACCAACTCTTCGGCCTCTCCCACTCGCGCCTGCGTGCCTGCCTCTCTTTTCTTCCCCCTTGCACGAGCCTTCCAGGACCTGCCTCCCCAGGCCTCTCCAACTTGCCTTTCCTCGCCCTCTCGCGCACTCTCCGTTTCGTGCGCACCAACCTCCGCCAGGCCTTACCTCGAGCACGCGACTCTAAAGGAGCTGTCCAGGAGCGGTCCACGACCCCTCTCGGAACTGCCTCTCAGGCGGACCTCGAGTACGCCATCCTCTGCGCCAACAGCGCCCCCGCCGCTGCTGCTCGAGGAGAGCCTTCTCTCGGAGCCTTCTCGGAGTGTGCGCCCCGTAGGCGCAAACACCGCCTCGGCGCTGCTCTGGTGGTCGCACGCGCGGCCCTACTTTTGGGGCGCCGAGTCTCACATCTCCCCACATCTCCCCACATCTCCCCACATCTCCCCACACCTCTCCACATCTCCCCACACCTCCCCACATCTCCCCACATCTCCCCACTGGCGCCGAGTCCGGGGGGGGGCGGCGCGAGGCTGGTGCCCCTCGGGCACGCCCACGCCACGCGGCGTGCGGTTGCGGCGTCCGTAGGCTACATGCCCACCCCGGGCGACTCGGTCCTCTTCTGGGCTCTCATCGAGCTGCTCGGCCTCGCCGGCACGCTGCGCAAGCTGTGGCTCGGTACGAGATAAAGAAACCACTGTGCCCCGAGATATGCGCAAGTTGTGGCTCGGTTTGCGGGACGGAGCCGAGAGGGAGGGAGAGAGCGGCGAGAGGGGGGGGGGGGGGGGGAACCCTTAAAAGGAAGGGGAAGGGGGAAAACCCGCCCCCCCCTCCAAGCCAATTTGCCCCGCCCCCCTCCCAAAGGGGGGGAGGGGGTCCAACTCTTGCTGCTGCGCCGGTTTGGCGGAGTGCGGACGGTCGACGCTCCCTCCTTCCGCACGAGGCTGTGCCGGAGCCCCACCTCCTCTGGAACCGTCTCGGAACTTTCCGCGTAGGTCGACCTCCGCTTCTACGACCACGAGCTGCGGACGTACATGTGAGAGTTGCGCCGGCGCGCATGTGAGCTGGCAGGCGGAGGCGCGGCCGGGAGACCGACCGGACGGCTCCAGGGCGGCTGCTTCGGTCGGCGTGTGGGCATTGGCCTCCAGCTGGAGGTATGTATTGTGCGTGACACGCGGCTTCGGGGGGCGGACGGTACCGAGGGTTGCCCGCAGCTCCCGGGAGACTCGCGTCTCGATGACGCTTTAGCCGCTACAGATGTGGGGTCCGTACGGAGGCGTACGGGGAGGGGCGCTGAGACCCGAGATCTAGTTTCCACGCCCTTGTATGGCGGTGCGTGGACCGTGCCGTCCCACCGCCGCGTCTCGCTCGCGCTGCCACCGTCATGTCGGTCGGATGGGTCCGGGATGGCGGTGTGGCCCGGTGTGGCCCGGGCTTGCACCTCGAGGCTTGCTTGCATACTCGCGCAAGTGTGTCTCGTTCCCGAATGATTACGGTTGATTAGAGGGCAGATTTGGAAAGATCTCGAGGAGTACATACAGATAGACCCTCCAACCATCAGAAAACTCCGACCTGATCGGTCGAACTGACCGCCGACAGATCACTCCAGACAGCAGACACGAGACAGGCCGAACGTCTGCACGCGGCCGGCCGGGCGAGAGGCTTGACATGATCCGACCCTGCGACCCTGACGCTGCTGCTCTAGCTATCAGACAACTGCTGACTGCTGCCACAATGTGTGACCGGTGCTGGCCCACTTGGCGGCCTTCCCGGTCAGTGGTGAGGCGCAGTTTTGCCGTTCACCCGTTCTCGCTCCCTCGGGGAGGTCGAGGCTCATGTATTGAGGGCTTAAGAATCGCCGTACGCGAGGAGGCCGGGACCCCGAAGACCCCGGACCCCGAAGGCGGACAAACAAACAGTCACACAGGTGGCGCAGGGGTGGACGGTGGGATGCGCGCGAGAGAGGGGATGCCAGACAGACAGACACAAAATCGGACCACTAAAAGTTGACGTGCGTTCCTTCCGCCGAAGACATTTCGGCAGAGTAGATTCCGCTCTCCTGGGCCAGCGCTCGCGAGCCCTCGCGGTAAAACACCATCATGTCGCCCTTAAGGGCGACAGCAAGCAGTTTTGCCGTTCACCCGTTCTCGCTCCCTCGGGGAGGTCGAGGCTCATGTATTGAGGGCTTAAGAATCGCCGTACGCGAGGAGGCCGGGACCCCGAAGACCCCTTTGAGGCCGGTCGCGTCCGGTGACAGAGTTGAGGCCCTTCAGGACGCGCCGACCCATGAGCGTGAGTATACATTGGCTGATTGCTGGCCGGCTGAACGCAAGCCTTCGGCCCTGCTCCGCGTGAGCCGCATTCGGTGTGAGCCGACCGAACCGCCCGGGAGAGGCACAGCCTCGCATCCCGTTCCTCTAGGGAGAGGCACCGCCTCGAATCTCCTATAGCCAGGGAGGGGCGCGCAGCCCCAGCCCCCAGGCTGTGGTGTGGGGGGGGGGGGGGGGCATAAACAAACGGAGGGAGGCGTGAGCCGCCAGTGCGTGAGCCGCAAGGGAGGCATGATCTGCCAGAGGGAGAGGCACCGCCTCCTATCCCAGACTGCGTGAGCCGCAATCGAGTGGCATGAGCCGGGAGGACCTTCGACCCGCACTGCCCCACCGAAATGAGGCTAGCAGCGCGGGTCGAAAGCGCGTGAGCCGCGCACGTGAGCCGCGAGAATGGCATGATCTGCCAGGGAGAGGCACAGCCTCACATCCCAGACTGCGTGAACCGCAGGAGGGTGGCGTGAGCCGCCAGGGTTCAGGGAGGGATTAGCGTCTGCGTTTGCGACCTCCACTGTGAGCCCTCTCAAGCTCGGAGACGAACTTGATGCGCGCGAGAGAGGGGATGCCAGACAGACAGACACAAAATCGGACCACTAAAAGTTGACGTGCGTTCCTTCCGCCGAAGACGTTTCGGCAGAGTAGATTCCGCTCTCCTGGGCCAGCGCTCGCGAGCCCTCGCGGTAAAACACCATCATGTCGCCCTTAAGGGCGACAGCAAGCAGTTCAGAGCTGTCGATGGCGCGATGCCGCACTGGTCCCACATTGGTGACACGAGACCACCACGTTTGCCGGTCCAAGGGAGAGGCACTGGCGCTGTCCTGAGAAAGTGCATGGTCCCTCTTGACTGCCCATGCGCGCGAGGCTGTGTAGGCATAGCCTCGAGAGTGCCAGCAGCCAGTCGCCGAGAGGCAGTTTGTGACGCGCATTGCGTCAGAAGCGTGCACGCGCTGGAAGGACACCTTCCTACTGGCCGTACGATCAGGTCGCAGACGCGCAGGGCGAGACGAGGGAGGGAGCAGGACGTTGCGGAGATCAGCAGGAGGATGTACAAAAAGATTAGGAGCAGGAGGGACCCGACCGAGGGACAATGTGGAAGACGGCTAGTGCTAGTCCCCCATCGGGAGGACGACCCCGGCTAGTCGCCGACCACACCCACAAAGAACCCACAAAGATGCACCGGCGGGGACCTGTTCCTTTGTACCATCTCACGACAATGCACTTGGAGCACTTGGAGTGCAGTTGGCAGCCTCACATCCAGGGCCGGGGAGCTAAGAAGCGCACCCAGCGGGCCGGATGATCGGGATCGGGTTGCGGGCAAGAGAGCCCTAGCCCCGGGGGTGCGCGTTCGCAGGGAAAGGGCCGTAAAGTAAACACGGGTCTCCGAGGGTTGGCCCCGCGTACCGGGTTTCCCCTTAACTGCAGGACGCCCCCTCTACTCGGAGCTAATGAACACCACACTGCACGCCCCACACCACCACTCTACACTCACTTGCGTCGGCGTTTGAGTAGACCCCCCCGCCTGAGGGCTCAATGCTCTGTTTTTTTATTTTGTCTGTGTGGCCAGCTGTCCCCCTCCAGTTGTACCCCGCAGCTGTGCCCGCTAGCCGTCCAAAGCCTGATATGTTGCCTTCTGTCGATAACGTCATTCCGCTCGTCGGCGCGCAAGACTCGCCACCGCTCGTCGGCGCGCAAGACTCGCCACGCAAGAGGCTGCTGGCGATACTCGGAATGGCCTGTATAGTCGCCTGTTTCCTCGGCTTCGCGCCCGCGCTTGCCTACTTTGTCGAGAAAGGCAGCTGGAAACTTGACGCCTTCTACGGCTGCTGCGACTACGACACGCTGCTCCTCCGTCTGCACGCGCCGCTCGGCTACCTGTGGCTCCTCCTCGGCGCAGTGCAGGTCGCCCTCGGTGCCGGCCTCCTTCCTGGCAAACAAGCGTCGCGTGTGCATCGCGTGATGGGTTACACGGCGGTGGCGCCGCTCGCGGTGGTGATGGTGGGCACGGGCATGCGCAACGAGCTCGACGCCTTCGGCGTCCTTGCCATCTTCCACCTGAGCACGGGCTCCGCCGCCCTCCTCAATCTCGGCCTCGCCCTTCGCGCAGGCCGCGCGGGACGCTTTCGTGAGCACGCCGAGTACGCCGGCTACTTTGTCATCGTGGTGACGCAGCCGGGCTGGGCGCGCTTCGCGAGCTTCCTGTTGGAGCTGGCGATCCCGTGCGGTCTCGACGGCTTCAGTGGCGGCAAGGCCGTGTCGCACACCATCGTCGCTTCGCTGCTGCTCGCGGTGATGCGCGCGCGCGGCCGGCTGAGCACCCCGTGGGGCCTCGCTGGCAACGTCGCATTCCTTGTGCTGTACGGCGTGGGCACGGTAATCTACGCCCTCACCATGGACAACTTCTTCCGCTGCGCGGCCGGCGCGGCACCCCGCGTCTGGCCGTAATACACGCCGCACACAACTATCGATCAGACACGTTGGTCCACAGGACCGGTCCGGCTGTGGACCGGTCCTGTATACCTGGGGACTGGCGCGCACTGACTGACTGGCTGGCTGGGCACTAACACAGCTCACAGGCAGGTACGTACATACATACACCAACCACGCACACTCCCTTTGTTCTCTTCTCATAAAATCGGAGGGTCGGCCCACGCACGGGCGGGGGCCGCCTGACTAAGCGCTGCTCGCCTAAGTAAGCTCGCTCCTCTCGCGAAGTAGAACAAAAAGCTGCCCGTGAATAAGGAAGGACTTACTAGAGCGCCTGATGAGGCGTCCTCGTAGTGGGGGAAATGGTCCACTGAAACATTCATTTTCCAAGCCCCAAACCCAAACTGGATCTCGAGGCGATCCGACGGTGGCATGAAGGTTGCAGCGAGAATCGGCGAGAGACTGCGAAGAGAGATAGGAAGAGGCGGACGCCCAAGGGTGGGCGACGGCTAGCGCATCACACCCCTCTCCTTAAAATCCCTGTGTGGTGGCGGCGTGCCGTCCTCCCATCCCTCTCCGAGCCTGACTGTTCTTCGCCTTCCTACAGAGGAAGGGTAGTTGGTAGGGAGGTGATGAGGAGTCAGTTATGCGCGGCGGGCGGTTAGAGACGTTACGGGAGGTATCGGAGGTTGGAGCGGAGCGAGCGTGTCTCATTGCGTCAGGCCCACGACCGACACCCACCGGAGCGTGGCGGTGGCGCAGGGCCGGCCGCACACCATGCCGAATCCGCTCGCGTTCGTCGGCGGGGACGCGGCGCTGACGGCGGCGGCCCGAGCGGCGGACAAGGCGAACGGTGGTGATGGACCATTCCGGCGGCTGGGCGAGGGCCGCGGCGCGGCGTTGCGGGAGGCGTGGCCGGTGGAGGCGCTGCACACCGTGCCCGCAGCAAGGCGGGCGGCGGCGGGCGACGCGGAGGAGCTGTTCGCGCACGCCCGTCGGCCCACGAGCAAGGCGAAGCGCGAGGCGGGCGAGCGGCGCGCCGTGCAGCACCAGGAGTGGGCTGACGCGCCCAAAGAGAAGAGGCAGAGGGCGGCGGAGGGGCGGGCGGCGGCGCAGGCGGCGCTGCTGGCGCCGCTCTCGCGCCTACCTGTGCTGGCCCTACCTGCAGATGCGAGCCCTAGCTATGCAGAGTTTGGCGAGCTCGGATATCGCGCAGCTGTGTGCCGTCAGATACGAGCCCTAGCATCGCGTGAGGTGCTTATGTTTTTCGTTGTCTTTCCACGTGTTCGCCAAGGAGGCGGCGGGCAGCAAGACGGACCGGACGGAGTACTCGAGTACGGGGCGGCGTCGGCGAGCGCCTCATACACACATACTGGCACTCACACAGGTGTACACGGGAACCGCCTGAGTGAGGGACTCCTGCGAGGACGGGCGAGGCACTCGGCACTCGCCCTGGAAAGAAGAATTTCAGTTGAGGCTTACCTGCTCCCTTCGGTGTCTGTTTTGCATTGGGGGTTCTTCTTTCTTTCTTGCACACGTGCGTGGTGTACCTACCTGTGTTAGTGCCAGTGCGCGCCAGTCCCGGTGTTGTGCGAGGAGGTCGGTTGTAAAATTCTTTCTGGACGTAAATCTTAAGAGAGAGATTTTTTCTTTCTTGTCAAAATCTGGAAGCCGCTGCCTTTCGGCCCGTGACTCCATCACAGCGCGAATTTAAAACGGGTGTGAGCGTTAGCATGCACATGCACATGCACATGCATGCACATCCGCCAGGCGGGCTCGCTTTTTCATGTTCACAGGGGAGCTCGCTTCACGCGTTTTGCTGGCTTGTTCCGACCGCTGCTTGTTTTTCCCCTACGTGATATCATCACCGCCAGCAAAACGCGTAAAGCGAACTCCCAGTTGGGCATACGTGATGCGCGCCTTCCTCTCGCTCTGCCTCGCGGCCGGCGCGCAACACACAACGCACAACGCACAACACACACACACCCGCACACCGCACACACCACACCACACAACACACAACACACAACAAGTGCTCGTCTTTTCTCCTGTCATATAAAGCCGCTGCCTTTCGGCCCGTGACTCCATCACAGCGCCAAAAGCAAGCCCTTTTAAAACGGTGTGAGCGTTAGCATGCGCGTCTTCCTCTCGCTCTGCCTCGCGGCCGGCGCGGCCGCTCACGGCTTCCTGACGTGCCCAGCACCGCGGCAGCGCCGCAACGGACCCATTCCAGGAAACACATGGACCATGTGGATGGGGATGAGCGGAAGTAACTACGGCCCCGGTATCGGCAACGCCCAGAGCCTGTCCGCCGGCGGCCGCAACCCGAGCCACGCCAGTCCAGGCACCCGCGACCTTTGTGGTGGTACGCTCGCCAACCACTTCTCGGCCGGATCGCTCTACGGCCCCACCGAGGCCAGAGGCACCTTTGTCAGCGGAGGCACGATGGACGTCACCGTTCGGCTGACCGCTTACCACAAGGGATGGTTCGAGTTTCGGTTAGCTGTGCCGGCGGGCGATACGCAGGACATTTCACAGGACCTCCTCAACGAGCATGTGCTCGAGATTGACCCATCTACCGACGAGTATGAAAAAGCGACCGATTACGCCGGCGTGCAGGGCGCTGTGAAGTGCCGAAACTCTGGCGGGTGAGGGCCGCCCCGCTCCTCCTTCTCCATTTTACTCCGCCGGCATCGCCGCCCCCACCGCCTCCACCGCCCTTGCTTCCCTGTTTCCAGGCACCCGGACGACTCGCCGCCTGACTGGGCGCAGCAGCCCTTTCCGCACGGCTCGTGCTGCAACGGCGGCGGTGCTTGCAGCCCGCCGGCGGCCAACACCGACCGCTACGTCGTCGAGAAGGTGAGCAACGCCGGCTCTCGCGAATACAGTCTCGTGCTCAAGCTTCCCCCGGGCGTGGTCTGCGAGCGCTGCGTGCTGCAGTGGTACTACCAGACGGGCAACTCGCCCGGGGCGTACCCCGAGGCGTTCTGGAACTGCGCCGACGTCGCCATCAAGAGCGCCGACTACTCGGGCCCGACGGGCTGCGCCATGCCCGGACCCGGCCCGTATGACTCCACCGTTCCGCCTCCGCCAGCAGCCGCCAACCCTCCCGCTGCGGTCGCAAGCCCTCCCCCTCCCGCGGCCGCCAGCCCACCACCGCCACTGCCGGCGAATTGCAAACGTTGGTGCGCGAACAATCCAAAGTGCGCGCCCTGCCCGCCTGGGGCTCCGACTCCCTACCCACCCACCCACCTCGCCTGCACCCCACTCACCCAAGCTCCAGCCCGGCCAGAGCGCAAGCACCACCCCAATCCCCACCCGGCCACCCTCCTGTTACAGTCCGTGGGAGAAGAAGTGCAACTGGGTTCAGAATTGCGCGGGCTGCCCAGAGTGCGAGGTCTCGCCGCCACCCCCAGCCGCCACGATGCCACCTCCGCCTACCCCAACCGTCGCGACGCCGCCGCCTTCTCCGTCGCCATCCCCGTCGCCACTGCCGTCGCCACTGCCGCCGCCGCCGCCGCCAGCCGCCGTGCCCCCGCCGTCGCCGCTCCCGCTCCCCCCTGTCGGCTCCCTCTGCGACTTTGCCGGCGGCGAGCTCTTCGACGGGACCGCCTGCGTGAGAGTCAACGCGTCGTGCATCTCGCCACCGCCGCCTCCCCTCGCCCCAGCGCCAGTGAGCTCGCCGCCGCCCTCGCCGTCCCCGTCGCCGCCACCCACGATCAGCGTGCCGCCGCCGCCGCCCCCAGCCGCCACGCCGCCGCCGCCTTCTCCGTCGCCATCCCCGTCGCCATCCCCGTCGCAACTGCCACCACCACCGCCGCCTACCCCAACCGTCACGACGCCGCCGCCTTCTCCGTCGCCATCCCCGTCGCCACTGCCGCCGCCACTGCCGCCACCACCGCCGCCTACCCCAACCGTCACGACGCCGCCGCCTTCTCCGTCGCCATCCCCGTCGCCACTGCCGCCGCCGCCGCCGGCAAGCGGCGGGGGGCAGTGTCTGTCCACAGGCTACCATGCTGGCTACACCGACGCTTGGTGCGACAGCAACTGCAACCACAATCCTCCCAACTGCCCCGCCCTTTACTGCACCCAGGGCTGCCTCGGCGGAGGCGGGGAGGGTCCGTCGCCGCCCCCCACGGTCAACGCGCCACCCCCGCCACCCCCGCCGCCCTCGCCGCCCTCGCCGCCCTCGCCGCCTCCTCCGCCGCCCTCGCCGCCCTCGCCGCCCTCGCCGCCCTCGCCGCCCCGCGTCGTGCAGTACTACGCGCAGTGGGCGGTGTACGGGCGCAGCTTCTACCCTCGAGACGTGCGCGTCGACAAGCTCACGCACATGCACTACGCATTCTACGAGGTGACGTCCGACTGCCGGGCCGCGTCCATCGATGAGTACGCCGACTATCAGCTCTCGCAGACCGCCGCCGGCCGCACGGTGCGGGGCAACATCGCCGCCTTTGTCGCCCTGCGCGAGGAGCAGGCCAGCCTCGGCCACACGCTGCGCCTCATCCTCTCGCTCGGCGGCTGGACCAAGTCGACCCACTTCTCGTCCTGCAGCAAGACGCACGCCAACCGGCAGGCCCTCGTCAGCTCGGCCGTCGCGCTTCTGGACCGGACCGGCTTCGACGGCCTGGACCTCGACTGGGAGTACCCGGTCTGCTGCGGCCTGGACAGCAACGGCGTCGACCCCGCCGACTGGGAGAATTACGTGCTGCTGCTGCAGATGCTGCGCGCGGCGCTGGACGTGGCGCACCCGACGGAGCACAAGGAGCTGTCGATCGCGATGGGGATGAGCCCGGCCGTGACGGGCATCGCGCCCAAGGCGGCGCTCGCCGACGTGCTCGACTGCATCTACCTGATGACGTATGATTACAATGGCGATTGGAACGACTTCACCGGCCACCTCGCGCCTCTCTACCCCGATCCCGCCTATCCCGGTGACCCCGACTTCCACATCTCGTGGGGCGTGGCCGAGTGGACCGCCGCGGTACCGGCCTCCAAGCTCGCCATGGGCATGCCATCGTACGGCCGCTCGTGGTACGGCACGACGGAGCTGTTTGGCTTCGGCGCCACGCCCGGGCCGGGGACCTACTGGGAGCCGCCCAACGGGGGGGAGCAGCTGGGCATCCTGCGGTACGACGAGATCACCTCGAGCCGCTTCGCTGGCTTCACGCGCAGCTGGTCCGACACCGCAAAGGTGCCGTATCTCCATGGGTACCTCAACGGCCGGCCCGCCTTCATCACCTACGACGACCCCGAGTCGATCGCCATCAAGGCACGCTACGGCCAGGCTGCTGGTCTGGCTGGGCTGATGTTCTGGGAGGCGTCCGAGGACAGCTCCTCCGGTTTGCTGCTGCGGGCCATCGAGGCGTGGAACGAGGGGTCGCGCCGCCGCTCCCTGCTCCTGAAGTGAAGTGCTCGATGCGTCCATTTGTTCACTACTGCTGCTGCTGCCCTGCTAGTATGTGCTGTACCCGCGCGTCTACTTGGCCGACAACAACGCGCCTGTCCCATATGTTCTGTGTAGTGACTAGTGTGTAGAATGTTCGATCTTTTGTGCATTATATTCTCGCACAACATGCCAGCCGCCAGGCGCCAGGGGGGTTTCTCAATTCACATACACATTCTGCGGCGCGCTCTGTTATAGTTATTCGACTGGCCAGGTATGGGACTTCCCGAGGTGACCCGCCTCGATTTCCCGGTGCCGGCGGTGGGGCGTGGGATATGCAGCAGCCTGTGCAGCCTGTGGGTCTGGTTTCTGCGGTTTTTGAATATGGTTGCTTCCCCCACAGCGCACAGCCACAGCCACAGGATACGAGTTACGACTAGTCTTCTCTGTCTGCGGGAACGTGCTCGGACACTGTGTTAAGTGAGACGTCGGCGGCGGTGCCGGTGGTGGTGTGACCGATCGAGCTACAAGAGGAGCTTGTTCAGCAGGATCCGGGATAGTCTGGCGCACTACCTCACTGGGCATGAGACCGCCGGGACGCCTCCCATCACCGTCTCGGATTTCGATTATGTGGGATCGAACCACTCCGGGAGACAAGCCCATCGTTCTCACTGAGAGTTGTGCCTTTCTGTCGCCTGTGAGAGACAGTGGGGAGTGTGCGGTGCGCCACATCTCGACCGGAAAGGGCGGGGAGGGGGGAAGGGGGGGGGGGGGGACTCATCCGTCCGGGCGAAGACGTAAACACAAAGCAACTTCAAGACGTACTACACGCACACAGCACGTAACACACTCAGCGCTAGTTCAACCCGTGCCCCCCCCCCCCCCCCCTTGGTGTACCTGTGTTAGTGCCAGTGCGCGCCAGTCCCGTGCGAAAGGTCTGGCAGCGCTAGCATCCAACGATGATGCTGTGTGCTTCCTCGTCGACGCCGCGCTCGGACAGAACGTGCTCGACGGGCTCTCGCTGTGCACCCATTTTCGTTGGCGACACCGCGTGGCGGGAGAGAGAGATTTTGAGCACTTGAGATTCTTTCTCTCTTCTTGAGATTTTAGAAAACCAACAAGAAATCTCTGGTGGCGGTAGTTGTTAGGCCTCTTCCAAAATCTGTTTTCTTTCTTTCTTTTCCTCTGCCAAAATAATTTTTGGCACAAGGTTCGCTGGAGGTTAGTGGCACGGCGGCCGCGGCGTTCTTTTCTCGCGACGTGCCCGCGCCGCCGCTCTTTTCTTCTTTCAAAATACAGAAAAAGAAACGAAAATTTACAACTGAAGTCTTCTGGGGAGCATTTTTCCAAAAGGGTCAAGGTCACCCGTGACGAAAAACGAAGAAGCACCAAGCGCCAAGCGTACACCTAAGCAAAATCGAGCCCGCTCAGGTGAGAAAAAATTATAAGGGTCGAAGCAGGTTTCGAACTGGCGACCTTCACCGCTTGCGGAAAGGGAGCCAGCCAGAGATCGCTTCATGTGTGAGGGGGGTCGGATTTGGCGACCTATAGCATACCGGGGGAATTAGTTAGACTTAATACGCACACACCGACGCCCGAAGTGCCAAGAAGGACGTCATTAGTACGAAACCTCAGAAGGCCATGGGCGCCGAGGGAACATTCCCCCGAGAGGACAAATAAAGCAAAAAAAAAGTCGACGCACCCCCTCCTTGCGCAGTGACCCTCGCTAAGTGTCGCCGTCTCGGGGCACGCTATCCTGCGCAGGCAGGGAAAGAGGGGGCGGGGGGCACTCCCACAGACGTATGTATCTGTGGTGACTGTCTCCAGTCTCGGAGGGGGGCAAGAAGGTAAGAATATCTATTTTTTTCCAAAAGGGTCAAGGGGGTGGAGTCGCCGTCGAATGGACACGTCCAGCGATCGCCGCCACGATCCCCTCACCGATTCGAGGCGGCTTGCTGGCTCTGTGCTGGCGATGCACAGGTTGCTCCTCTACGCTCTCGCTGCCATGAACGGCGGTCCCTTCTCGTCCGACCCAGTGGTGCAAGAGGACTACATTTCACCTCTTCCCGGTGCTCTGCGTCGCAGCCTCATGGCCGTCCACGCATCCGGCCGATCGAAGCACAGCGCCGTCCCGTGGCGTCCGGAGATGGATGCCTTCGTGCTGCTGCGCCACGTTCGAGACGGCATCTCGTTGCCAAAGGTGGCAGAGCAGTGGCCGTTTGAATCCGCCACCAAACGAAGCAAAGATGCAAGTGGCGATGGAAAAAGGTTCTCAAAAGACTCGACGCTCTCGACGACCTCCGACTGATCTGTGGATCCTGCGACGAGCGCGAGGAGGCGGAGACGCAGCTGAACACCGAGGTAAGCCTGCAGCCGTGGGTCGAGGACGCTCTCGTGAACCTGCACGCGCGAAAGAACGTGCCGATGAACTCAAACTTCACTCCGTGGACGATCGAGGAGGACCGCCTCCTGTTGCACTCGTACCAGAGCGGCGCGAAGATCACTGACATTCGCGTGAGTAGCCGATCCGCCGAAGCAATCAAGCTCCAGCTACGCCGACTTCAGAACGTCACGCCACTGGTACGCGACGCGCACCACAAGAGCCGCTGCGACCCGGAGGCGACGTTTCAGTACCTGCAGCACGACATCTGGACGCCGATCGACTCGACCCTCGCTCTACCGCCGTGCGCGCAGATCGACTGGATTCGCGGCGTCGCAAAGGTGCCTCCCTTACCCTGTTCGAGCTATCACTAAAGTTCATTCACACGCACTAAATTTAGACCCAAGCGCCCTCCTTTGGAAGCGGCATAGAAACCATCCACAACACCTCTCTTGGCTAGCTTAGAGCCCCCGCCCCCGCCGCCGCCGAGCCCCTGATGGCCTCTAGTGCCATCGCCGGCGCGTTGCTCAACGCCACCTTCGACGAGCGTGGGCTCTCGCGTCACTCGTGCTACTCGCCACGGCGTCTGTCCTCAATGTCGAGGGCGACGCCTTTGCGCTGAGCCTCAACGGCACTAGCACCATCCTGTCGTCGAGCCTTCCGGTGCCGACCAGGACGTTTAAAGTACTTGCAGTCGCTGTTCGAAGCGGAGCCGTAAATGAGGGCGGTCAGCGTGGACAGCCGCAGGCGCATGCGCGCTAGGAAGCCTGACGGAGGCCCGGCCCGGCCCTGGCGCCGTCGTGGGCCTTTTAGAGCACACAGTGCCTTTAAAGTCTCGACAATCACTAAGCTGCTTATGTGGCACCGCAGAGGCTCCCTTGGGGATGCCTGAGGCCACCCCAACCACTCACTAAGCCGTACGTAGACGAATTGTGCGCTACTTTTTTCGTTTACCTACACAGCTACCTAAGCGAATGGGAGGCAGTCCGAAACAAGAGGTCTGACCGTCCTGGGCGAGGATGTGCGGGGCGAGGTCCGGCGAGAGGAGGACCTCGGAGAGCACCCACTCGGGCTGCTCCACGAGCCGTGCGGCGTGCTCCTCCGCCACGCGCAGCGCGGCGTCGCTCGCGCCCGCCTGCGCGCGCCTGCGCCTCGATGATGGCGCACAGCTGCTCTGGCGAGAGCAGGCCCGCGACGCGCGCGCCGATGCGGTGGGAGGCCATCGGCGGGCGGCGCGCTGAAGCTGGAGGGGTGGGGGTTTTGGGAGAGCGCGCCTGCTAGCGATTTCTTTTTCTTCGCTTCCGCCCTCTTCCGAAAACTGAAAAGGACCATCGGTTATTATTACTTTCGAAGCTCAGCTCAAAAAATAGTGATCTAATCACCCGAAGGGGGTGCAGCTTGGAAGGGGGTGCAGCTTGGAAGGGGTGTAGCTGCTCGAGAAGGTGTTCAGGCTTCCATGATGCGCGTCCTCGGCTGCCTTCTCCTTCCGGGCCTTGCGCTCGGAAGCCACTGCTCGAGGAGCACCGTGCCAGGCTACTGCTGCTCTATCGGATGCGACACGGCGATTGATCTGACGCTTTACGGCATGTCGCCAGCCACGTGTTCCACGGGCGACGCAACGCTCGCCGACATCTTTGCAGTCGCGTCGGCCGATGGCTGCAGCCCGCTGACGGAGGGGAGCTGCGCATGGGATTCAAGCGCAGATGCGAAGTGCATCAGTCAGGGCCTTTGCCCGGCCGTGGTACCGCCAGTCACAATTGGGTGCGTGCCGGGCGTTGTGGCGGGCGCACCGTCGCCCCCGCCACCGTCGCCGCCTCCGCCGAGCCCGCCTCCCTCACCGCCACCTTTTTCGCCGCCCAGCCCGCCACCTCGTACTTGCGAGGAATGCAATTTCCCCCCCGTGTGGAACGGCACCACACCCGAGGTCTGGAACGGCAAGGAGTGCACCTCCGAGTGCCCTTCGTGGTGCCCGCCGGAGAAGCCTCCGCCGGAGTGCACAGCCCTGGTCGGCCGCAACAGGAAGCGGGAAGGCTGCTTCTCGATCGAATCAGGCGGCAACTGCGACAGCTACTTTGAGAGTTTCGGCACAATCTACGCTCTCTGCGAGGACACGGGCAGAGGGTTCTGCGACCAGTCGTCTGGTATCGTGTGCGAGATGCCGCCGCCGTCGCCGCCGCCCTTCCCACCCAACAACGCGCCCACGCCGCCGCCGCCGTCGTCGCCGCCGCCGTCGCCGCCGCCCTCTCCGCCCTTGCCGCCGCCATTCTCGCCGCCCTCGCCTCCTCCACCGTCGCCGCCGCCCTCGCCGCCGCCCTCGCCTCCTCCGCCCTCTCCGCCGCCCTCTCCGCCGCCCTCGCCGCCTCCGCCGTCGCCGCCGCCCTCTCCGCCGCCCTCGCCTCCTCCGCCCTCTCCGCCGCCCTCGCCGCCGCCCTCGCCTCCTCCGCCGTCGCCGCCGCCCTCTCCACCACCCTCGCCTCCGCCGCCCTCTCCGCCGCCCTCTCCGCCGCCCTCGCCTCCTCCGCCGTCGCCGCCGCCCTCTCCGCCGCCCTCGCCTCCTCCGCCCTCTCCGCCGCCCTCGCCTCCTCCGCCGTCGCCGCCGCCGTCTCCACCGCCCTCGCCTCCTCCGCCGTCTCCGCCGCCCTCGCCTCCTCCGCCGTCGCCGCCGCCCTCTCCGCCGCCCTCGCCTCCACCGTCCCCGCCGCCCTCTTCGCCGCCCTCGCCTCCTCCGCCGTCGCCGCCGCCGTCTCCACCGCCCTCGCCTGATCCGCCGAAGCCGCCGCCTTCGCCGCCGCCGACGACGACGTCGCCATCGCAGCAGTCCTCGCCTCATCCGCCGTCGACGCCACCCTCTCCGA